CTCCCTCTCACGAGCCAGTCAAGTCCGGACGGTATCACGTGGTGTCCCATTTGAGGACATAGGGGGCGTGCTGCCCGCATACCACCCACTCTACTACGAGAGCATGAATGGCCCTGGGTTGTTTACATAGGCCGCGGGGTCCAAGATTAAGTCAAATGTACTGACAGCTATCATACATTTTAAGAATCTGACTCTAGAGAGATTTTTATGTAGCCCACGTGGATAGAGGATACACAGAACTTGTTTATTTATTCTTTTCCATTTTTATGTCAATTATTGCAACTAATACTAGCCCATTAATTTAAAATGCATATATGGAATTATGAAAAAAAAAAAAAAAATCATTACCTATTGTGTATATGAAGAGTTCAAAAGCAAAAACCAATATCTCATTTTTGAAAAATTGCCAAAGGTTTCCAAAAGCGTTTGTTCTTTCTGTTACCATCTTCTACAGATAGTAGCAATGACAATAATGTATAGTGGATTTTATCAAGAAGGGAAAGGATAACATTTTGATAACAGTAAAATAAATTTAGCTTTGAAAATATTACTATACTAAGAGTAAACTTCAAGACTTGAATGAGTTTTTCAAATTGCACTTACTTGTTTTGCAAATTAACTGATCATCTGCTCCAGACACATGGGCTATTGCAATATAATCTTGCAAGGGGGACAAAAGTACTATCCACGTATTCACCATTCACAATACCTGCAGATCTAATAAAATACACTTTATGGTCACTTTTTTCAAGCTAATACATAAAAATACCCATTGATCCTCGAAATACAGTTTCATTTTTAGTACACGTTTTGATATTTACCGAGGAAGACCCCAAAAAGGCCATTTCAGTGCAAACCAAAACTGTTGTTTTTGTATTGTAGGTCAACTCAAAATATAACCAGTGCATTGGCCTGGAATGGTCCCCAAACAAACGCAGGCTTTATTCAATCTGTCAATCTTTTAATAGCAATATCTATGGAAAAGGCATGGCAGAAATAGTGTTGGGAAATTCAAGAGCGCATTTGGCACATCATATATCATAGGTCTTTAAACTGCTTGTAGACCTCAACGTGTCAAGATGTTCTATGGCGATATCATATTTCACCAGATAGATCCTGTCTGGAGCTAATTGTCACAGTTAATAAGCAAAATATTAAACCATAAAAAGTAACAATCGACAGTGAATGTATGTAAATTGTCTTAGGGTTTGAGTCTGGTGTTTTCCAGGCTTTGCTTCTTGTCCTCAAAAGACCCACATGTGCTGACACTTCTCGGAAGCCGTCCTGTTTTCCCCATAGGAAGAGTTGAGGAGTTTTTCCTCAGCACAACTGTGAGTTCTGTGGAAAAGTGCGACACCTGGTGGTTATTCGACAGCCCTGCAACTCACTGCTGCAAACGAATAAACAAGCAAGTATTACAATGTAGTTATCTATTTTGATGTCTATTTTTGCTATTCTATTTTTTCTAATTTGTACTATTTACTTTTTGCATCATTTAAGCCTACCTGGGTATATAGAACAGGTTAGTAATAGTCAGTGATATTAAAGGTACACCGAGAAGCAAACGAAAAATTCTAATTTGTACACCAAGTAACTTTTCCTTTGCTTTATATGCTTCAGTTAGATTTAGTCAAACTTTATTGATCCACAGGGAAATTATTCGGACACAGTAGCTCACTCGTCATAATATAATATAATAACAAAGAGTAAAAACTATAAATGGTAATAATAAATTCTAAATTTAAAAAAAAATCATTATTTGAATTTATTTTTACTTGATTAAACTAATCTATTTCAGAGGTCAAGTTAAAAGTCAGATTTGTGGATAGGCAAGCCTGCTCACGTGACCAGTGCATGATTTTCAAGGTATTTTTCACCAATATGTAAATGAATAAAAATGCTGCGTGGGACGTTCAAGGAAATGCAAAAAACAAAACAAAACAAAAAAACATTTCTATAGTGACAAAAAGTGGCAGACCCCCCACCAGAAAAGGTACACAGTGCACCTTTATTTGGTACTTTCGACCGTTTCTGCATGTTTTAACTGTTGACATATGGGAATGGCATCTTGACGCTCTCGGTCTATCCCTTGGTAGCTGTTACCCCCAATTCACACCAAAGCGCAACGGCGCGTAAGCGCAGACGCGCTGCTTTAGAACTCCATTTTAACCGGTCTGACCGTGTACACCGACAGTGTCACACGCGCGTCCAACGAGCGTCTGACGCTGACACGCTGCTCGAGATGGGTTGGAGTTCTAATTTTGCAGCGTCAACGGCGCGTCTCCAAGGTTTTTAGCAGGGGAAAGACAAGAAATAAACACGCGGTGTCAAAATAAACTTCCGATACCCTTTCAAAATAATTTAACCAAAGTCAAGACAGCAATGTAAACAACGCGCACGTGATTTACGATGTCAGACACCAATTCTACAAGGACTCAGGACTAACCCAGGGCTAACCCAGAACTAAACCAGGACTAAACCATGGACTAAACCAGGACTCACTGTCGAAATGTGCTCGGGGGTCCTTCCGTGTAGCCCCGAGTGTCCGCGGGCGAAAGGACCGGTGCAGAGCTCGGAGAAGAGGTACGTGCAGTATGGAGTAAGAAAGTCAGTCAGTCAGTCTTCACTTCAGCAGTCTTCACTTCAGCTGCATTTCTTGCATGAAATGCCACCAAAGTTCCTCGGGACGCTGAAATGTCCCAGTTTACGCCAAACACTACCAAACTGTCCTGGTTACGACGTCACAGCCAATGAAATGTTACACATTACAGTTTAATGCAGCTTCCAGCAACAATTAATGTTCGTGTTTACAGGCAACACCTTGGTATGTTTACAGTATTTACCGGTAAGTTTAACGTCACTGTAACGTGGATGGATTTGCTAATTATAACCCATTATAACTCATGTATAACCCATTGTCTGAAATGCAGCTGAGATGAAGGTTAAGACTGACTGATGCTCGCTGTGGCTGGAGCCGTGAATGTTTTAATCTAAACATACAGAGAACGCCGATATTTGTTAATTAGCCCTGGGATAACGTTACGTTACTATGTTATCTAATATATAGGTGCAATTTCCCGTTCAAAGGAGGTGTTTCTACACAATATTATACAGCAGCGTTCGGTTCCCGAATTCAAGACATTTTTACAATAGATTTTAATGAACCCACTTGTTGGTCGCTGTTGTAGCTTCTTGTGCTATTACTCTGTGTTTACCCTCTGCTACAAACTTGAGCATGCGCAGTCATGATCTTGATCGATGTTTCTTCTGCTCGATGGATAATGTCTGTGAAGTGATGACGTATTTTTGACAGTAAAGTTCCGTCTGTGAATTTGTATTCGTACTGATGAAAGTGTAATCGTAAATTTTCATTTCGTGATTGTAATTCATGACGTCGTAATTTTTCAATTCGTATTCTGATGGATAAAATACACACAATATATTTTATGTACGACTGGACTCATTTGAGAGTTTACAAATATTTATTTTATGCGCAACTACAGCCAAATATGCACGGATTTCCCAAATACGCACGGATTTCTATTTTACTCGCACGAATATTTTTGACAGCTTTCTTACTCCATAGTGCAGCCGTCGCGCTTTTCGGACACCTGCTCCGCGGGGTTCAGGGTTCGCTATCTCTATCTCTCTCTCCGAGATTAGACCTGGTTTAGACCTGATTTAGTCCGGGTTTAGTCATGGTTTAGACCTGGTTTAGACCTGAAGTCCCGACCCGCCTTTAAAATTCCAGAACGTTAAAACTCGCCCGTTTCAGCGACTATTTTCCCTTATCCATTGGTGCAGGACTCTGTATCAACATATAAACGAACATATAAACGTATAGGCCTTATTACCTGGACGGACATATGATTTTAATCACACTCATAATGTATGTTAATTATACGTGATTTTACCTTATTAAGGGGGGAAAAAAACTGAGGTGTTTAATGTGCGTGCTAATAGATTTAAACCTCATTAAACGCAAATGCGTTGCAGCTGTACACTTAATTCATAATACACTTAATACACATTCTAACTTAATACACTTTAACATAAAATAAATGATAAAAAGCAAGTACAAAATGTGATGTCTGAAAACAGTGAGAAGACGTGCAGGCTGCAGCAGGAGCGTCTCTGACGCTCTGGTGTGAATTGAAACTTTGAAATGAACGCGTACGCGCAGCTCCGCCTACGTTAAGAGCTGCTGCAGCTCCTGGTGTGAATTGGGGTTTAGGATGCACAGAAACATTACAGACGTACTTAATTTGCATTACAAAGCAGCATGGGGGTATGTGGTCTCACTGCATAACACATGAAACCATATGGCCAGTAGTCAAACTGCTTTTCCTAAACTAATGAAAAGTAGGTTAGGGGTTATTCTATGTTATTCTATACATTGTCTGCAAAATTAGTAGCATACAATTAGGCATTATCCAAATAAAATTAGTTTTGAGGTAAAGGAAGCGTTGGTATAGTCGGGTCATACCAATTTAGAAAGAGATAGGTCCTAACGTTTATGGCTCAAACGATAACGTGTTTTGAATGGTTAGCAACACTCAAACACACGCGAAATGTTATTACACATATAAATATTGTAAACTAACTAAAAAGGATAACCTAAAATATGGTTAAACTCTGGAATGAAAGTTATCGAAACTTCACATAACCCCCTTCACAGAAATGAGGGAGTCCGGAAGTATCGCCCAACCCTACTCTGTGATTGGTCCAAAGTTCCGCGCGAAAAATACGTCAGCCGAGTTTCGCGCCACATCTGCTGCAGAAGGAGCAACGCAGAGGCAAAGGTAAGGGATGCTATTTAAATAAAGTGATTTTCAGACGCAATAGTTGTCAAACCAGGTCCGAAACAGTGTTAACAACGCACTTGTCTACGTTGTATCATATAGGATAGGGATATGCTCATGGAGTCTGTTTAAACTGTCGGTAGATGTTAATCTCACGGGGCTTCATTGTTTTCTACGCAGCCACATGTCAAGTTAAGGAGGCTGTTGTACTGCATGGATTGCTCTTTGTTCAAATTATGCAGAAATAACACTCATAACACGTGTTTTTCCAAGTCTAAATGACGAAATACATTGAGTATTACAACGATTTTATCATATTAGTATAGCTGGCTTGACGATCATTTTTGTTTCCAGGCCTATGTGTACAGATTTTGTTTGCATGGATTAAAGAAATAGTTGATAGTTTAAAAAATAAAAATAAAAAAATACTTTGTTATCTTCTTTCCGTACTACTTTTGATTGTGGCACTTCATCACTTCACTAAATGAATCCCAAATTGGAATGATAACTAAAATTACTTTGACTATTTCTGATATTTATTTCAGGATTTCAGGAATCACTTTAAAAGTCAGTTTTAATCAAGATAAATATTCATAAATAAAGCATAATGTATATATTTTTGCTGTGTACAGTTGGCTTGGTTTCTCCTAATATGAAAGCAATCCAATTCACTGTATTTATGTAGCACATTCCATAAAGTAAACGGTTTCCAAATTGCTGCACCATACAGATAAAATGGCAATATAAAATAAAAGCATAAACCATAAAAATGAAGTATATATCTATATATAAAGACACAGGACCACACAACTCGTGCTGTGTTAAAAATCAGAGAATATAGGTGGGTCTGAAGATGAAACTTGACATTCACTCACTTTTGTATTATCCACATCTCCAAGGAAACACCTTGAAGATGTTGGCAATATGAACTAAAACTTTAACATGAACTGATCTTGATCTGTATTTGTTTTTAGAATATCAATCATGTCTTCTCCTACTTCAACTCCTGGTCGCAAACGTGGAAGAAATGACAACCCCTCCACTCGTAAGTAGCTTTTAAGTCCTCAGGTTAATCCTGCAGTAATTTTTAATGTTTCCGGTTACCCCTTAACTTGTTTAACTTTGTATATTGAGTTTTTTTTGTTCTTGATCCCATAGCCAGCAGTGAGGGTCCCACCTCTCCCCCCTCCCAGCGTCGCAGAGGGCAGGACTCCTCCACTGCGGATCTGATGCCGATGCCCACCTCACCAGCCACAGACGTGCTCAGTCCAGCTGTCCCCCAGGACACCTCACTGTTTTCCAGCCCACGCCCTTCAGGTATCACTGGGCCAAATAAAGCCAGTGTAATAACTTGAAGCAAAATGATTAGACTTACACAAACTTTTGATCCACAATTAATATCATAATATTTGGACATAGTAGCCACACATCAATGTGTTCTAATAACAAAGAGTAACAATATAAATGGTAATAATACATATGAAATAAGTAGTAAAAAAGTAGCAAGGGAGTGGTGTCAAATAAGGCATAATTATACAAATGTATATAAAAAAAATTAAATATAGAAATAAAGTAATACAAATATATCTATCTGTATAAAGTGTGAGGGGAAAAGGGTTATCTGAAATTTGTAAGACCTTTTACATTATTTAATTTGCCAGAAGGGTGTTGCGGTTGGCTGAGGGCAGTGGCTAATATAGTTTTAGACACATTCAGCTGGTGGGCAGATAAAAGCTTATTTGTGCCTTTTTATAATCAGTCCAATTCAAAGCCTTGTACTATTCTATTTTTCACCCATTTTTAATGCTTTTTTCCTGTTTCGTTTCATATGATAGATGATTTGTTCCATGTTTTTGATTTGTATCTGATTTTTCTGTCATCAGTGGCTCCAAATGAAGTAGACATGAGCTCTCCTCTCATGTATGGGACTCCCAGCTCTCGCGTTGATGCCACTCCACGCAGCGGTGTCCGGGGCACACCTGCCCGGCAGCGCCCTGACCTGGGATCTGTGAGGAAGGCCCCGCAAGTGGATCTGCAGTCGGAACCAGTCAGTCCAATTTTGTCCCACTCGGTCTTTTAGGCCTTACATAAGAGATGCTAAAGTAAATTGTATTTGGGTTTGTAGCAGAGTACAGATGGCGCCGCTGTGGGCAGTGAGACCAACACTGGGCAGAAGTTGGTCATCTGGGGAACGGATGTTAATGTTGGAACCTGCAAGGAGAAGTTCCAGGTGCGATTTCAAGATTGTGTTTTAAACTAATAATTTCTAATTACAGTTATAAACTAATCATTTCAAACTATTGATTTTAATAAAGACCTTCAATAAAGAATGAATATTTTCTCGTTGCAGAGATTTTTGCAGAGGTTTATTGACCCAACCTCCACTGAAGATGAAAATGCAGGTCTGGACCTTAATGAGCCCCTGTACATGCAAAAGCTGGAGGAGGTAAAACAAAATGATTAAGGTTAATTAGATCTTGTTTTATGCATGTTACTAACTTATTTTTCTTTCTGCTGTAATAGATCAGCGTTGTTGGAGACCCAGTGTTGAACGTGAATTGCCTACACATTCAAACCTTTGATGCGGAGCTGTACAGGCAGCTTATCAGCTACCCACAGGTAAGTAGTTTTTATATACATGCTCTATTATTTAGTAAAACCTTGTAAAAAGGCTTGTACCTGACTTAAAATATCTTGTTAGTTTCTTACGCCTTCTTAAAATTGAAATCTCCTTTGTTTTTTCTGTTCACAGGAAGTTATCCCCACTTTTGACATGGCCGTGAATGAACTCTTCTTTGAGCGCTTTCCCGACTCTATCTTGGAGTTCCAGATTCAAGTCCGCCCCTACAACGCCCTGAAAACCCGAAACATGAGGAGCCTGAACCCAGAAGGTGAGTGGGTTCACACGCCCAGCCGGTCCTTTTAAAAGGTGCCAATAAAGTGAAATCACACCTATTAGTGCTACCATTTGCTAAATCATTTGCCCATATTTAGTGTGGGAATTAAGAGAATCTTTTAGGTTTGTGAAGTGTGAGGTACAGGCCTCATGGTAACGCTTCTGTCTGCCTTATGTTGCATTTCAGACATTGATCAGCTCATCACCATCAGCGGTATGGTGATCCGCACTTCGCAGCTCATCCCTGAGATGCAGGAGGCTTTCTTCCAGTGCCAGGTGTGCGCCTACAGCACGAGGGTGGAGGTGGATCGCGGCCGCATCGCAGAGCCTGCTGTGTGCCGCCACTGCAACACCACCCACAGTCTGGCACTCATTCACAACCGCTCAGTCTTTTCAGACAAGCAGATGGTGAGAGCTGGGGAGCAGGAGCGGGGGCAGACTGCTTACAGTGAATGACACCTAGTCTGAGAATATGTTATGTGCTAATCGGCCGTGTGACGACTGAGGTCATGACATCTGTTGTTTTATAATCCTGCCTCAAAACAGATTAAAGTCCAAGAGTCTCCTGAAGACATGCCCGCAGGTCAGACGCCACACCACTGTGGTGTATGCCCACAACGACCTGGTGGATAAGGTGCAGCCTGGAGACAGGGTCAACATCACAGGTGAGGCCCTGCACCTACCAGAGCACTCAGTATCTTTAACATATACGGCATATATACACTGCATGTCAGAGGCAAACTGCTGAGAAATAATAAAATAATTCAGGTGTTTCATATAGATGTAAATTTCCTGTATTTGGTACTGGTACTAGATAGACTCACTGTAACAATTAAGATAAAATAAGGGAGTTTGTAAAATCCCTCAATTGTCCAGGTAGAAAAAGGAAAAATTCAGTGCGTCAACTGGAGCTCTGGGACCTGAAGAATTGGACCAAAAAGAAACTTCTGTCCAGCTGACAAATTTTATTTATCCTTTGCCAATGACAAAATAAGATGTGTTTCTCACGCTCTCCTCGGGGTCACATTGACCCGAAGAAATTTTTTTTTGCTCCCTGCTCTCTTGGGGCGGGTCAATCAGACCCAAAAAATTATTTTCTTGCCTGGCGGGAATTTATTTGAAAATAAATTTTTGGGTCTGACTGACCCGCCCTAAGAGAGCAGGGAGGAAAAAAAAATTTCTTCAGGTCAGTGTAACCCCCGAGGAGAGCGTGCAGGCATACAGTCTCCTATGTGCAAGACGTGACTATACTGTTGAGAAATGATTGAATATAATATGTTTAAAATGCTCAACTTATACAGGAAAAGACCAAGGAACTTTGCAGTAGCCCTGTACTGAATCTATCTATGTCTGAATATATCTATATCTATGTATGTATCACTATCTTATTAAGTGCTGACTTTGAAATGTGTTAATCATGAAAGATTTATGGCAAGGCAAGTTTATTTGTATAGTACAATTCATACACAAAGTAATTTAAAGTGACTTAATAAATTAATTAACAATCATTTAACTTCTCTTTCAAAGGCATATACAGAGCGGTCCCGATGCGAGTGAACCCGCGTCAGAGCAACGTGAAGTCAGTTTACAAAACCCACATCGACGCCATCCACTTTCGCAAGACTGATGAGAAGAGGCTGCATGGTCTGGACGAGGACGCCGAGCAGAAGCTGTTTACAGAGGACCGCGTGCAGACACTGAAGGAGCTCGCTGCCAAACCAGACGTGTACGAGCGCCTCGCCTCTGCTCTGGCTCCCAGCATTTATGAGCATGAGGACATCAAAAAGGTGTGTGAGAGAGGGAGGTCATGGATACCAGCCAGCACTGTTCAAAGCTCTCACACCAGTCTATTTTGGGGTTCAGCATATTGGTTGTGAATTTGAATGTTATTGCTTCACATTTCCAGCTGGCAATATGGTAAACTTGATGTAGTCATTTGGTAACATAGGCTGTTGTATTTGTCCATCTGGGTGAGTTGACACAGGTCATAAAGTGGGACTTGGTCTAAATCTATGAGAAAAAGATTGGATAACATGGTTTAAAATTAAGGATAAAAATTTAAGATAATATGACATTTGTTTTGAAATGTCATGCTGTACTACCTAGTATAAATGGTTATATTTGTAGGTTTTCATTTCACCATAACAACTTGATACATTAGTAGAGAGATATGGTTCAGAGACTTCAGTTCAGTAGAGATGGCAATCCCAGGGCTGAAATGATCCAAATGATTTCAAGTGAAGGTGTATGGAGTTTAAAAACACAGTGGAGCACTTCCTGTATTACCACTTGACATCACAAGGTGGAGCAGAGTGTTTTCAGTTTGAGAGAGGAACTAAGAAGCCTAAATATGCTGAGTTAAATGTGTGTGAATGAAGCAAAACAGAACTCCAGCTATATTTGTGATGAGGAAACAACATAAAGAGCTCATATTATACTGTTTTCTGATCTGTTAAGGCTTGTTGTGGACGTATATTTTGAAATTAATTAAATGTTTTGTGTATGTTCAGGGCATCTTGCTTCAGCTTTTTGGCGGTTCTCGTAAAGACTTCAGTCAGACTGGTAGAGGCCACTTCAGAGCTGAAGTAAACATCCTTCTGTGCGGAGACCCTGGCACCAGTAAGTCCCAGTTACTGCAGTACGTTCACAACCTGGTGCCACGCGGGCAGTACACATCAGGGAAGGGCTCCAGTGCCGTGGGTCTCACCGCGTACGTGATGAAGGACCCAGAGACGCGCCAGCTCGTCCTACAGACCGGCGCCCTCGTGCTGAGCGATAACGGCATCTGCTGCATCGATGAGTTTGACAAGATGAGTGACAATACGCGCTCAGTGCTGCATGAGGTCATGGAGCAACAGACTCTGTCCATTGCCAAGGTAACGCCACACCCACGCTCCGTATTGATTAATTTTTAAGGTGCTTTATGTATCTTTTCTGGTGGAGAGTCCATCAGACTCTTTTTCTCCATGGATTTGTTTTTGCTTTGTCAGGAATGTTTCGCATCAAGGTTTAAACCTTGCTGTTTTCATGGAGACTAAACTAGACCAAATTACAGCTCAGATCTGTGGAGAGGCAACCTCACTCACAGTCAGAATTCCTGTTTCTAGGTATTTTTGAGCAATAAATGTAACTGAGTAACTGAATACTAGTATGGTGCTGTAAGAGCTGTTTAATGTCATACTATGGAACATTCCAGGCAGAGCAATAACACAAATTATGAAAACAAGGTAACGGACCCCGAACCAAAAAGTTACAGTGCACCTTTAAAGGTCCTATATTACACAAAAAGAATTCTTGTATGCTTTAAAGTGTGTGGGACAGATTTTGATTCTCAAACTTTTACGTAATTTAGCGGGATTATATGGATCAAAAAATTACAACACGTAGACAGTAAGATTTATTTATGACATCTTACTAGAGACAATTCTATCCAAAAGTTGAGCACATTTTACATGTAAGAAACAATTTATTTTATGCTACTTTAGACATGATTTCACCAAAATATTTGTTGTATTTGTCAGATAATTTTTGTGTACATTAGAGGAGTACATTTATAAAACAAAAAAAATGTCCAAACTGTCTTCAAAAACATACCTTAACCCTTAAAAGTGCACTGTGTAACATTCTGCGTGGAAGGTCTATCACCATGAAGATGTTGTTGCTTTGCCTGGTGTTTTTCACAGTATGATATTAAACTTGTCTATTTCCATGGAGACAAGCACCATGCAATTTACAGGTCTGAGTTGTTGGAGAGGCGGTGACCCACTTACCTCGAAAATATGCATTCTACTGTATTGTTTTATTGTAAACAACACACCTATAATTAAGTTTAATACCATACTATGGTACATTCCAGTGAAGGCATCTACCCAGCATCTTCATGACAACAACCAGGTTTTAGACTCATACTCTTAATATGCAGGGCTTATGTGTTAAACATGTGTGAATGAAACAAAACACATCTCGAGGTATGTTTTTGAAGAGGAAAGACTATAACCTAAAATAAAAATCATAAAATGGCATAATATGGGCCCTTTTTAAACATTATTTTAAAGCAATATTTTGTTTTGTGTCCTGTCTGCAGGCTGGTATCATTTGCCAGTTGAATGCCCGCACTGCAATTTTGGCTGCTGCTAACCCTGTGGAATCCCAGTGGAACCCCAAAAAGACAACTATTGAAAATATTCAGCTGCCTCACACTTTATTGTCCAGGTAAGAGCACTAAACCAATGGAGCAGTTCAAAACCCTACTTTTCATATTGGCCTCTATTGGAATTTATAATGGAAAAACATTTTATAGAAAGACTGCAGAAGGTTTTTGTAGCTGTAGTAATAAAAACTGAAAGATCAATTAATAAGTTTTTTTTCATACCAAAGTTTCTCAAGAATACTTGAGAGTAATACTGAAGCATTAAAGGTGTATTGAGTAACTTTTCTGGTGGAGGGTCTGTCAAATGCTTTTCTCCATGGAGATGTTATTACTTAAATGTTTCACAGTACAGTATTAAACATTTCTATCTTCATGGAGACCAAATCAGACAAAGTTACAGGTGAGGTCTGTGGAGAGACACCCTTGCTTAGTCGGAACATGTGTTTTTCTATGTATTGTTAAGCAGTAAAACCACCTGTAATTGAATAAATATAAGGTAGAGCTATGGAGCATTCCAGGCAGAGCAATGACATATCTATAGAAATAAGCAGGTAACAGACCCCCAACCAAAAAGTTACACACTCCACCTTTAAGTTCATAGTAACGTTCACTATTAAATACTACTTTTTACTGTCTAGGTTTGACTTGATCTTCTTGATGCTGGACCCCCAAGATGAGGCATATGACCGCAGACTGGCTCACCACTTGGTGTCGCTGTACTACCAGAGTGAGGAGCAGATCGAGGAGGAGTATCTGGACATGGCCGTGCTCAGGGACTACATCGCCTATGCACGAACATATATAAACCCCAGACTGAGCGAGGAGGCCAGCCAGGCTCTCATCGAGGTATGTTCACACTTGGTTTAAATCAGTAGTGGAAAGTGTAGCGTAGGATTTCAATATAGGATTTTAAAATGGTGACACTGCACTTATGATTTAAAGTTCTAGTGAAATTAACAAATGGCATCAAACCTGATTTTAAAGGTGCACTGCATAACTTTTCTGAGTCCATACTTGTTTGTTTCCATGGAAATGTCACTGCTTTCCCTGGAATGTTCTGTAGTATAACAAACATTTCCATCTAGCATTTATTAATTACGGGTGTTTCTGTTGCTCAAAAATACATTGATTCCTTCTGCGAATTTGGGTGACTCTCCACAGATCTGAATTGTAATGTAGTGTAGTGCTGTAACCTGGTTGTGATATAGGTTTAATCTGTACTGTGGAACATTCTAGACAAAGCAGTAACATCCATGGAGACAAGCAGACGGTGGACCCTTCACTAAAAATATTATGCAGTGCAACTTTAACCCTGGACAGTCAGTTTCTGTTCAATTTAATTTTGTCTTATTAAGAGCATTTTCATTTTTTCCTTGAGCAATACAAATTTTAATCATTGGCAGCATGGTTCATTTGGTGACCCCTGTTTGTAGAGTCTCATTCTGTTAAATTGTGCGAATTATTTTACCTCAAGTATAGTTTCACTCAATTGATGATTTTAATGATGAGTTTTTTCAATGTTTCTTATCGGATTAATACTGTGACATATTTCTGTACAGGCCTATGTGGACATGAGGAAGATTGGCAGTGGCCGTGGCATGGTGTCTGCCTATCCCCGACAGCTGGAGTCTCTAATCCGACTGGCAGAAGCTCACGCCAAGGTACGCTTCTGTGAGAAAGTGGAGACCATCGATGTGGAGGAGGCCAAGAGGCTGCACAGAGAGGCCCTCAAACAGTCCGCCACAGATCCCAGGACCGGCTTTGTGGATATCTCCATCCTCACTACAGGTCAGATATTGGAAACAGAGGAATAATTGCTTTTTAATGTGTATATGTTTTTTTTAAACAGACCTGTGCAACATTCTCTCATATCCTGACATGTCATGGATATCTTCAACATAAACTTCTGTTTAAGATAAAATATATTAGAAAGTAACTGTAAAGGTCAAGTTAACCTGCGTTATATACTGGTCTGTTATGTTTCCTCATCAAAAACAAACCTGGAGTTATTGTTATCATTCACACATGTTTAACACAACAACCCTGCATACTTAGGCTGAGTTCTCACAAACCACCTTGTGATGTCACTTGGTAATACAGGAAGTGCTCAACTGTGTTTTTAAACTCCATACACTTTCACTAGAATCATTTGGATGATTTCAGCCCTGGAATTGCCAATCTACTGAACTAAAGGTAAAAGGTAGCTATTATTTTAGAAGCTACCACTGCATGACTCCACAAGGTGGAACAGATGATTTTGAGCTTTGGCGATGTATACCAACAAATTCTAATGCATTACTCAAACATTTGTAAATGTACAACATGCACAACTGCACATCTGTTTTTGCTGAGATAACATTAAAATCTGTCTTACAGCTTTAATACATTTTTAAAATGTATTTTAATTACATACTGTTTATCACAAGTACCAATTTGTATTTTTATATATTTTTTTATACACATTTCAGGAATGAGTGCTACAGCACGTAAGCGCAAAGAAGAGGTGGCTCAAGCACTTAAGAAACTCATCCAAGCCAAAGGAAAGACCCCAGCCATAAAGTACCAGCAGTTGCTTGAGGACCTCCGAGGACAGTCTGAAGCAGTAAATATTTTTCTCTTTATTATTTTCATCTGTGTCCATTGTCCAGCATCTAAAAATCTATTCTCTGGTTCATAGGCAATCACCAAGGACCTGTTTGACGAGGCTCTGCGGGCTCTGGCTGATGAGGATTATTTGACAGTGACTGGGAAAACTGTTCGTCTGCTCGCTTAAAGCAGTTTTTAGTTTCTAGTGTTATTTTTCACATTGTATGTTTAAATTGCATTGTCAAGAAAAAATATACTTATTTGAATGTTAATGTATTGTCTTAGAGTACCAGTAAATGCCCTACAGAAAGTTCGATTTGGTGACCCATGTTTCTACCTTGTACTTTAAATGTAATTGTAAAAAGCTTTTTCAGGCACTGTACTTATTACAACAGGACACTGTTGAATCAATTGAGTTATGCGTAGTTTGCCTTAAATAATCTTGTAATTACATGCAAATTAAATAATAAAAAAATCTCATAGAACCAGTTTGATTTGTTATTGGTGACACCATCACAAAGCAGTACAGACACACCCTGGAAATCTGAGTGCTTGTGAAATGAAAGCTGTTGGAAAGTATGTTACCCTCATGACAGATGTGTTCCTTAAACGTACTGTTGGACTTCGTTCAAGTCAAAGAGCAATTTAATCAACCAATTATCAAAGGCTGGGTTGAATAATACTAATATTGCGGTTAATTTCATGTGTAGTAAATAGGCAGTGAATTTTCCTATTGACCTGGCCTTGAGCCCTGCCTGTGCTGTGTGCTGTGCCCTATATTCTATGCTCTGTGCCATATTATGACCTGTGCTGAGCTCTGGATTATGATGCTCTATGCCCTGTTCTGTGCCTTGTGACTGTACCTTATGCTCTGTGACCTCTACATTGTCTGTGCCCTGTGTTATGCCCTGCTATGTGCCTAGTGCTATACCCTGTGTTATGTCCTGTGCTGTGCTTAGTGCTGTATCCTGTGTTATGCCCTGTGCTGTGCCTAGTGCTGTACCCTGTGTTATGCCCTGTGTTGTGCTTAGTGCTTTACCCTGTGTTATGTGTTGTGCCCTATACCCCACGCTCTGTGCCCTGAGCTGTACCTATGCCGTGTTGTGCCCTGTACCCCACGATCTGTACCCTATGTTATATGTTACGCCGTATGTTGTGCCCTGTATCCCACGCTCTGTGCCATGCCCTGAGCTGTACCTATGCTCTGTGTTGTACCCTGTACCCCACGCTGTGCCCTGCGCTGTGGTGTACCCTGTGTTATGCCCCGTGTTGTGCCCTATAGCCCACGCTCTGTGCCTTATCTGTGCCATGTGCCTTACCCTGAGCTGTACTGTACCCTATGTTATGCCCCGTGTTGTGCCCTGTACCCCACGCTCTGTGCCCTGTCTGTGCTGTACCCTTTGTTACGCCCCGTGTTGTGCCCTGTACCCCACGCTCTGCGCCCTGTCTGTGCTGTACCCTTTGTTACGCCCCGTGTTGTGCCCTGTACCCCACGCTCTGCGCCCTGTCTGTGCCATGTGCCGTGCCCTGTGCCGCTGGAGCTGGGCTTGGTTTTAGCGCCGCTGATGTCACTGCTCTGTGCGCTGCCTGACTCTGCTGAAGGAGATGGCCACCTCAGGTCTGTACGCCTCACATCTAAATACACATCTAAAGCGCTGCACTGAGTGGGCGAATCCACGCTAGACCTGTCATTTCCACTCGCAACAACTGTCGTGTTCACCTAGTTTGTTTGGGAAGTTGATGTAAATGGCAGTTTTCTGGGGAGGCAGCAATGCTTTTTGGAGCCACCGCGTTAGCTTGCTTAGCTTTATTATAGCGATTCACACGAGTTCCTGCAAATAGCTCATAGGGGTAGAATTACAAAGCCCGTGGTCTTATCTAATTTAATACATTTATGGTGTAATATATCGTGTTTAATATGATCGCGATCGTTTCTATTTTGGACCAAATCGACCGCAGACAACAGTAGCCACCATTAGCTTAGCCTCCGTTAAGTTAGCGACTAGAATATTCTAACAAGGCGCAGCGGAATTAGCCGTGCCTTAAAGCTTTCTGGAATAAAATTGGCCATCCTACAAAGACAGCACTGCAATATATTTAAAGTTAGGCTTAGATCAAAGATTATCTCGTATGCAAGATAATGGGGATTGTGTTGAAACCTGGAGATTCTAGCGGCAACATGGTAGGGCCAAATGTGCCTCTGCTACAAACACTTAAAATCATGGCAGTAACTAAAACCCCAAACAGCTAGATCCACGGTTATTATTGAATATGCATCAAAGAAATATCCAAAATTGCACAATTGCTTTCAGTAAGTAGACGGAGCCGCAGCCCTATTTTAGCGCCCAGCAGGAAGTGGCTGATGATACTGCAAAAATAAACCTAAACTTTGGCTCCACATAGACTCAAAGTGAAATCCTCCCTTCACAGATCTGCATGAACACCATAGACTATATAATATTGTCTGTTTCGCTTTTTACTACACCACTCTGCAGTTTCCCAAGCCTCATTAACATAGATCAGGTCAGGGGTCGTTTAACATTGTAAGGGATTAAAATGTGCTGATGCTGGTGGACACAAATATATTTGACCTATAGGGCCCATCTTAAGTCTGTAGTAATGCAGTTTAGCTTTGTGGTCAATGTATGGTTACAGTAGGGTGACCAGATTTTCCAAATTAATAAATAAATTAATAAAATTCTGAAAAGAGATCATAACATTCTTGACTCACTTGTGGGTCAGTATAAACTATTTTTTTTGCCGTATAGTCATTTCCAAGAACAGCTGTCTGTATTTTAGTTAAACACATGAAATTATATTTCCCTCTTTACTATTGGTGGGTATGAAATTGGATAAAAATCAGGGACAACTGGGACATTTCTCATATAAAACTCAGACAAATTAATGGTTTTGGATAAATCTGATGGGACATGGGACACAGGACTTAAAACTGAGACAGTCCTGGGTAAATAGGGACATCTGGTCACCCGATTTTCTCAGTGTTTCCCATAGATTTATATAGAGACTATGGTGGCACGAACAATCCATATTTGAATCATTTTATTTAATATAATTTTTAGAGTATAAATATTTATTTTTGCCCCCAGCGATGAAAAAGCACTAGCAAATTAAATATAGTTACTTCTGTATAGTTTTGAAAATACTAGAAGCATAGAGTAATATTTGTATTATCAATTTTTGTTCAGGTTCTTTTTAGGCTATAGGGACAAAAATGAGACTACAGACTATATATTTTTGACCATAAAAGTCTTATGATTGTATTATTCTTATAGTTATATCCATCCAATTCATGGGTCTCACCTTCTTAATATATGTGACATTTTGAGGACTTTTCACCATTCAAAAGATATACAATTTTGACATAAATTGTTAATTGCTATGGCAACCGTCCTAATTTTTCAACATTCTGAAACCCATGTATAAGCAGCGGCATTAACACTTTTACTTTGAGTTGGTTACAATACAAAACATTTTTCAAAAATAACCACACCCAGCCATATATAGTCTTAAATTGTCTAGTTCTTCATTGATAGTAGAAACAGAACTGAGGCTTGTTGTGGGTTTAGCAGTAGCCAAGTCTCTCCCCTGTGTCTGGATCTGACTCCAAGCCTCATGACTGTGTCCTAACGACGTCTGGAGTGATGACTTCAGTGATGACATGTGCCGCTTCAGTCCCTTCTGTTGAGTTATAGGTGCACTAACTCTACAGGAGACACAATAGACTAGATCTAGTCAAGAAAAGTGAATGACTCTATTTATCACCAATCATCATTTGTTATTTATTTGTAATTATTTAGACTTAGACAAACATTATTGATCCACAAGGGAAATTATTTGGACACAGTAGCTCACACATAAAAATATATTATGATGATAAAGAGCAGTATTATTAATGGAAACTCAAGCAAAAAGCACTGTGTATAGGTTTTGGATTGATTTTCTGTAGATATTTTATTGACATGATATAATCTATGTAGTTATAGTGATAGTATTGAGCATCTTAACTACTTGCCCACTGCTGCCTAATTCATAATTTTAATGCTGAATAGTTCTGGGCAATTAATCAAATTCTAATCAAGCTTGAGATTCAGTGAGGCCGTGAGCACCTCCATGAGGGACGCACAATCAGAAAAATATACTTTTAATATGTGATTGGGCCCCAAGTTTCTTTGTACAGAACAAGTCAGGCCTCGAGATTGAAAAGTTTAAAAACCCCTGATGTAGATGAATGGGTCTTTTTAATCGAGGTTCACAGTCAATGGAGTTTAGACTTTGTGAACTATTTTTAAGATTACATTGGTTTTGTTCAGGAAATTCATATCAAAATGAATTTTTATTTGGCAATTTAAAAAAATCTGTCAATATGATGTGAAAATATAAATTTTACATACATAAGCGCAAAACATGCACAAGTAAAATGCTCCAGCTGAGGTAGGTAGCTGAGGCCAAGCTCCAGGTCTGGAGATGGGTCCTTAAGTGCTGTACTGCTGTAGCTCACTGCTCCTGACAGATTGTCCCAGTGGCATTGAAGGATGGGTCAAATGCAGAAAATTAATTTCCCTGCACAAGGGATCAATAAAGTACCTTATCCATAACCTTCATTCAAAATCATTTTTTACATTAACATTTCTTTACTGACATGTCTTTATACTTCTTCAATTGCTTTACATTGATCAGGTACAACTGACCTTGTACACACCACACATTTGATATCAAAACATTAGCAGCCCATATTTCATGACATATTTTTCTTTTTTATCACAGTTAAAGTCCCACGCAATTTCCGCTTGTTGGAGGAGCTGGAAGAGGGCCAGAAAGGCGAGGGCGATGGCACAGTGAGCTGGGGCCTGGAGGACGATGACGACATGACCCTGACCAAGTGGAGAGGCATGATCATTGGACCGCCACGTGTGAGTACAGCCTCTTCAACAGTACTGCAAGACTGTAACATGCAGGAAGTACTGCAATATGCAGGAAATACCATCACCAGGAACAAAACAGCAGGACACAAACACAAGTCACTACATTTGTCACATTGTAGATGATTGAGCCTACGCTTCTATGTCTATGCCTTATTCTGTTACTTGTGCTGCATCTGTTTTCACATGTTACTGCACTCCAGTGTGCACTAGATTTAGTTCTATTTACTTCTCTTTTGGGTCAGCCCTTGTTCACACACACTGCTCATCATTCATCCCAAATTCCGCACCATGATCTATATGAGAGAATCAGCTCACCACTGAGCATATATCCATGACAGAGAGTTTCAAGCGAACAGCCGTGTGAATACACATGCACACACTCGCTTCCCTTGTGCTACACATCCCATTTTTTTCTTTCACCTGTAAATCTACAGTGAGTGTGATGCACACTCACACGCGGTGTCTCACTGATATTAAGTTGATCCAAATTGCCTTGTCAGACGCAGGTTGCTAAACGACAGTTTTGCAAGTGCGTTTAAGAC